TGAGGTACCAGTAGGACCTCATGCCGGGGCAATACAACTTGGAATGCTTTTAAAGAGAGACTGTCTGAAGGTCTAGTGCAAACCGGCTTCTCTCCAACACCACCATTCTTCTCCATAACATCTGCAAAAAGAAGCAGAAGAGGTCCGGAGCTGCGGTAAGGACGCTAGATTGATAGATAGATAGATAGATAGATGGATGGATGGATGGATGGATAGATAGATAGATACAGGACATTGGGCACTGTGAGGGGCTACAACTTCACCCCTGGACAAAACAACTTAGAATGCCTCTTCTTGATATGAATGACTGCCTACAGGTCTAGTGCAAACTCGCTTCTCTCCACCATCACCCTTCTTCTCCACGCCCGCAGAGGAAGCAGCAGAGGTCCTGAGCTGCAGTAAGGCAGTCAGTGTTTAAAGAACAGTTCCAAAATCATATAGACAAATAGCAATTGTCAGCCAGTTTAGTTTCTACCGTACTGCCTTTTATATATAGATATATATATATATAAAGGGCTGTTCAAACTCAACAAGAAAAACAAGGTTTGAGATTGGAGGTACAGTATATTGGAGACCACATCTCCTAATAAAGGTGATTATATACCAGATGGTGATTAACATAACGCGCGCTTGACCCACCCACTGTTTCGGCCACGCAGCTTTGATTGCGTGGGGTCCTCATCAGAGAGGCTTTCCTCATTACGTGGGTCTTCAGAAGGGGGTGGCAGCGGTGGCGGCCCCTCTCTCACAAGCGCGTCTGCGAGTAGCTGAATTCCGTGATCCATGGCTTTGAAAGCTTTGCTAACCAAAGGAAACTAACTACAAGCACATGTTCAGTGATGTTCAGAAGTTCTGATGGCCTTGCAGTCCGGCAGCCCCTTGTATAAAAAAAGAAAATGACTATATATATATATATATATATAAATGATATTATGTATATACTTGCATTGCGATGTGACTGCACGTGGCATCACGTGGTATATAAATTAGTAGACGTTCCAACTCTTGGCAAGCTCCCCTTAGCTCACCTTGATCCATTGGCGCCAAAAAACAGCATTCCAAGTTCATGTGGCCATGCATGGCTAGGGGGGGTTCCCCAACCATGTGAAAACAGATCAACCATGTTGAAAACATCGTTTTTTACTGCAAACCCAGGAACTTTTCGCTGCAAATTCACTGTAAATATCAGTGTTTTGTGGCTGTTCTCCCGATTATCTCCGAGGGTAAAAAAGGGCATGCCAAGTTTGGCAGTGCCCCTGAACTGTTCACCCCTAATGCCATTTTCTGAGTTTCCAAAAGTGCATTCCACCTTTCAGACGGGGAATATATTCATATATACTACTATGGCTACAACAGTGATAAACGCGAAACAAGGATTGACAAGAGTTCCCACTTATGTGGAGTTAATCAAGGAACTAGACAAAGAAAAAATAAAGACCAATGAAATAAGGAAAGTCTTTGACAGGAACGCTTGGTATTTTCACGACAGTCCGCTCAACACAGCGCCCAACGAGAACAGCAACATTCACCCAGCAGACCTTCAACAGCAGAACTTCAAGCGGATGGCACAGGAGGCGACCATCACAGAAGACACAGTCTTTCATCCCGTGGATGATGATGAAATGGAGGAATTGAGAGACGACGCCATAGAACTTTATGAAAAGAGTTTTGAGAAGGAAGCGGAGATGAGAGAAGAGGAAGACAGGAAAATAGCGGAACAGGTCAGTTTAAGTCATAGGGCAGACTTCCACGCTATGAATAAAACCATAATGTATATTGCGGGTTCATCCTCCAGCGCAGGTGTTCAGGAAGAGGAGGTGAAGCAAAGCGTCGTCCAATCCGTGATGGATAAAGTCAAACCCGCAGGAAAGAAACTACTGAAGGAAGCGGTCAAGGCAGTAGCAACATCACAAGGAGGGGTAGTAGGCGGTCTCATAGCGGACAGACTATTAGACACATCAGGGGAAATGGGCAATGAAAAAACGTCTTTAGCAAAATCATTAGGTTCAACGGTGGCAAAGAACGTCGCAGAGGCATTACTTCCAGATGTAGAGCACAAACCCAAACCAAAAGCAAAGGGAACGAAAAGATACCCATTAAAACCACAGAGACCAAACCCAACAGGTCTAACGGCAAAACTCACACCAAGACCCAAGAGAAAAATAACGAGTAAATCACCACCAGAAGAGGAAGAAGTAGAACATATGGACACTTCGGCAGAAGCCTCGCGAGGCTCTCGCGACCCAAGAGCCGGAAGTCAGAAGAGAGAGGAAACAGACCCATCATCAAAGAATACGAAGAAGCACCGTAAAAACCCAACACCAAAAAGGATGGAGATACTTAACGTTGAAGGAGAACAACCGCCAAGAACAAGACCAAAGGCAAAGGCAAAGGCATCAGCGTCAGCATCATCTTTATCAGCACCAGCGCCAGAACAACCACCACAAGAGGAAGGACAAACAGAAACGAAGGGAGTGACAAAGACCATCTACAAAGCGGTCGCACCCACAAGCGGGGATACAGGTGATGAGGGTACAGGTGATGAGGGAAGCGTTTGAAGACGGACACAACAAAAATCTCATTGACCTAATGACCTACAGGGATTACCAAGACCTATTCAAACAATGGAAGTCCGCCAAGAAGGAGGATAAAGCGGAACGGTTGAAAGAAATGAGACAAATGTATAAACTGTATAAAAGCAAACTCTATCCAAAACTGAAGCAACAGAAGTGATTATATAATAATATGTTTACCAAAAAATATTATATATCAATCTCGTACTCTTCAACGAAGGTCAGACTGAAGGAAACATCTACATTGTTCAAATCAACGACATTGCCATAGGAATTTACAAGTTTGAAATGAAGGGTTCTCAATACACGATTACTTACATTGATGTAGTCCGCCCCGATGATTTCGTTGTCATAGATGACCGAACCAAAGGGAGCATTGATAGGAACTTGTTTGATGATGGCATACGCCCCAGTTGAACCCAACTGTCTGGCATCGGATAACTCACTACAAACCAAATAAACATTTCTCAAAGCGAGGAGGGTTATGTATCCACTCGTCCAAGAATAACTATTCAACGCTGGCGTGTAGTTTCCCAAGACCTGATTTAAGGACATCAAGTTTTCCTTATCATACGTATCACCTTCCCAAAGAATAACATTGTAATACATCGCATAGTCGGTTAAGACCCTGAAGGAAAATTCAACATAATTCAAATTGATATAGATGTTGTTAGCGTCGTAGTCGTAGGTTATGGTGAAGCAATCATTATTTGCTAAGAACCCGTCGGTGAGAATGTGTAGAGCCGTCGCCAGAGTAGCACCGACATAAGAAGAGGAAGGTATGGAAACCTTGACATCCCTTGTTGATGTGAAGTTAGTAAGTCTGAAATACATTATGTTATTCAAACCCGCCTGAACGGGGTAGATACTGCTAGGGATGGTTATCTCGTGAACGTAGAGTTTACCCAGAACCCCCATTTTACCATTTTTGGGGGGAAGATTTTGACGTTCAAGACAGCTGAGCAACACATGGATACACATGGAACAAACTTTAACACTGATGTGGAGCAGGGCGAGAGGTCAGGAGCAAGATGGGTCTCATCTATCAACTTCTGTCTGGAGAACTATGGAAGGACCACATGCCAATGAGTCCCCTGGCTCATGTGGTTTGTCGCAACTCCTCTGCTGCATCATCAAAGCGCCGCAATTGGATCAAGCACCGCAGTCGCAGCAGAGAGCCCTGGGAGCACAAAGCTGTTTCCAAGCTTCCTTACTCACTCACTTCTGACCCGCACTGAGCAATCAATCTCAGCAAAGAGAGAAATACACCCAAGTCAAGACTGTTCTCTGTGTTTCTTGGAAGTCTTTGGGTCTGAAACAAGAAGCGTCACTGGTCTGGGACCACCAGTCTCACTTTGCGATGATTTGGGCTAGTTCTGCAGCTGACACAATAAGGTTCGGCAAATATCCATCAGAGTCCAGCTGCTCCGCCTCAACGCCATAGGAGTGCTGGGAGAGCTGCTGTAGAGCAGTCTCCACCCTGCGGGTGTCCACCAGCCTCCTGGGGACGCAAGGAAGGAAGGAAGGAAGGAAGGAAGGAAGGATGGATGGATGGATGGATGGATGGATGGATGGATGCATAATCGATTTGATCAGCTCCTGTCTCTTCGCATCCAAAATTCCATCCGAGTTACTTGTTGTAGGATGTTGTAGGGAGAATTTATGGATTCTTCTCGCTGGTGCAGACTGTGATCGATCTCAACTCTGTCAAGCTCAGTGCCCGTCCTGATGGTCTCCAGGGAAGTCTCACCAGAGATGGCATGAGACTTGTCCTCGCACAAGAAGTGGGCAGCAGATGTGGTCTACCCTTGGAGGATGGAAATCGATTTGTGGATGGTCTGCAAACATCTTGCATGTTGCTCCGAAAGCTGCTGAAGGAGAACGAGCGAGGCTTCATGGTAGAGACCCCACAGGCCCTACAAGCCTTCGTTCTTCCTTTTCCGAAGAACCAGCGGAGACATGTGTCCTCGTGAGCGGAGAAGAGCACGCGTGGCTGGATCAGAGCTGAAGGTGCCTGTTTCAGGAGCTGAGCTAGCTCTGCATCGACCACGCAGCCCACGCGTCGCGGTCAGTCACGGGAGGGGCCACAACACCATCCTTACATGGCCAAAGTGGTGTGGGTGATCGGATCATTGTTCTCTGTTGGCCCAGAAAATCTGTCTCCAAACTCGTGAAAGCTGGGCCCTTCGACGGAGGCTGGAAGCTCACTGGGCACATCGAGGTCATTGGAGAGCTCATCCAAGCTAGGCCTTAGCACATTCATCGGATGTGGGGCGGTGAACCTCCATGAAGGCTTGGTGGTCTGGAGTGAGTCACCAAACCACCTATGAATTCACACGTGGCCAAAACTCAAGGACGTCACCTATTCAAGAGAGGGCAGTTCTGCTATTTTCGCAACTCAAGACCACTTTCTGCAAAGCCTTGGTGTCCCAACACCTTCGGAGCCCTTGGCAAAGGCAGCCCATGTCGAACCTCCTTGCCATGGCAAAGGAAAGCTTTTCGCCCACGGCGGAGAAATCGACGTTCTGAACCATGTGAAGCAACGATGAGCTGGCCACTCTCAAAGCTGGTGGCCACTTTTTCAAGTGGCTGACATCCCCACATTTAGTGGCAAGAAGTTACGAACGGGGCTCCTGGCCTCACTACTAGGAACAAGGACGCTACGAACGGGGCTCCTGGCATCGCTACGAACGGAGCGATCGGACGCTACGAACGGGGTCCCTCCGGATGTTCTGGGTGACCCCTTGGCTGGGTGACCTCGTCCTCCGTGACCCTCTCGGTGACCTCGTCCTGGACGCGAGCGACCGGATCGGAGGCGGAGGGACCTCGACGAGGAATGCCCCCCCCAACGCACGGGCGAAGGGACCTCGATGGACGTATTCGACTCGACTCGACTCCGCTGCGAGCAAATGGACGGTTTCTCAAATGGATGGTTTCTGCGAACGTCAGTGACAAGTGCATCGCTAGTAGTAACAGGTGCCTTACTAGTAGTAACAAGAAGCTATTAGGAACAAGTGCATCGCTAGTAACGTTTCGAGTCTTCGAGCACCATCGAAACCTCTCAATGATATACCATGCGAAGTGTGAAGCATCCACGTGATATACATGACTTGTGTATCTAGTTGAGTCTTTCAAATCATTGAGCTGAGTTTTCCCTGCTACAAAGCAACTCTCTTGTCTTTCTTGTCCAAAAAAGTTCCACTTAAACTTCCCTTTGAGCCCTTGTAAAGCCTTGTTTTACAATTCAAATTCGTGCGCCTGTTCCAGGAACTCCACTCTCTCCAGTGCATCCTGTGTGCCTTTCGCGATTGGGTGTTGATTTGAAGTGAAGATCACCGGGGCCCAAAAGTAGTGGGGGCTGGAAGAAGCATTGGGGCATGCGGCGCCAACACTCCACACATTCGCAAAATGAAAGAGCCTGTACAGACGTCATGAGCCTAAGCGAATGCTATTCAAAAGAGCATCGTATACCCCTCGAATGCTAGTCAAAATACATCTCGCGTCAGGGCTCCCGGGAGATGCTTAAAGGGTACCCTGTAGTACACAAACACTTGGCGAACGTGCCATCCGCATAACACCATTTCGGGGAATGCAGGGATGCAGTGATCAGATGCAAGAATGTCCGAGTAGTGGACGAGCCGCCCTTGTCCACACGAAGCAAAGACCCACAGGACTTCAGCTAAAGGAAATGGCAAAAGAGAGAATACAAGCCTGTACAAAACAAAATTGGAGAGGTCAAAAAGCTGTACAGACCAGAAAAAGTGCATAGAGGCTCGCACAACACAGCGTATCGACACCATGAGGTAAGAAGGCAAAGTTACCCACAAGGTTGTAGTGTGATGCGCTCAAAGCAAAACTGTCAAAATCTAACGGAATGCCACATGTTGGAGACTGTTGGGAGCACCCCCAAAAAAAGACGCAGCTAAAGGACTCTGCTCTGGAAAAATGCCCTTGCTGGCTTCTTTCACCACTCTTTGGACCCGGCCATAGTTCCCAGATGACCTCAGTTCACGTGGTCCGATGACCCAAACTTGTCAAAAAACACTTGACCTTGGGGTGTGGTCAGACACGCTAGAAATGAAGACTCGATATTGGCAATCCTGGCCAGTTCAGCTCTCAAGAGGGTCTGCTTGCATTAGGCAACCAAGTCAGGTGCACAAGGAATCCCGGCTGCCTGTAAGGCCATCTGTGATGTATACAACTCAGTGTGTGTGCAGTGTGCAGAGGTCAAACCACTCACATCACCTGAAAGCATCCAAGTCACTTCACTGCATCCTGAGGCCGTTCAGATCGAGTGCTTGAAAAAAAGGAAGCGGAGCGGTGGACGGACAAGCACTCTCTTCCCGATGTCCGGGTGCCTTCGGCTCCTCCATGGCATTGGAAGGCTACTGTCGGAGACAGTTCCTTCCACTCATAGGGCTGGATCCCAGATGAGTTCCCCACGGCCCTGTTTTGGCCTCACCCAATGAACATGTCTTTTTGCAAAAGATAGGGGGTAAGCAAGACGAAGAGACAATTTGAGGCGTGCTTGAGGATCAGATCTGCCGGTACACATGTCTTGCTGAGGGAAAATATACAGTACTTGAGTATATTCAAGCAGCTGATGTATGGCTCGGTGTTACCAGAGCTGGTAGATATCTGCAGATGGTGGTTAGCTGCTTAGTTCTGCTGCAGGGCTGCAGGTTCCACATGTCACAGAATGGGCTCGCAGGTCCCACGAGCGTGGTCTCCTGTCAAAAGCAAGCTAAGTTTCGGCTGACTAAGGCAAAAGAGGTCCAACCCCCCCAAAACAAAAAGGACAAGTTGTGGCGAGATTCCAAGTCTGCGAAGTTGAAACACGGCCCTCAATGAGTGCTTTAGCGTGCGATCCTTTTTACCTGATAGGCCCTGCATTCCACCCTCCAGTGGACTCTTCAATGCACGAGAAAGGAGATTCATACGCTTCCCTGGCAGCCCTTGCGACCATAATTCGGAGTCTAAAACTTCGAAAGTCTGGCTTGCCAGAGAAGTCGATTGACCAATATACAGCCTGGGCCACAAAGCACACCGAACACAAAAACTTGGCCTTTGCATCACAATGGGTGCACCCAGCGGCAAGATCTTGCGTGGCGCGGGCGGGGCCAAAGGCTCACTTTCGGTAGTATGCACCACCTGGCGTCACTGCCGCTTCGGGGTAGCCGAAAAATCCTTCGGACGAGGTTGTCACCGAATCATTATCCTCAAAATTGCAGCCTGCTGCAAAGGGGTTTACATGTATGTATGTGTGTATATATATATATCTGTGTGTGTCACACCCTGCTTCTAAGGGCTTTGCAACAGTGTCCAACTCGTCAAGCCAGCAGGGGGAAAGAGCTCTCTGATGCTACTCTGTCCAACGAAGCTATGCATCAGAGAGGGAAGCATCCACTGGCCATGGATGTGTATTTGCGTCAACGGTTGCACAAGCTGTCCAATTGATCTTGTTTGTTTCCATGGTTCTTCA